CATTTGCACCGCAGGGGCAAAGAACCCATTGGAGAAGCTAGGCCTTAGCAGGGAGAAGGAAGTGGGATAGCAGAGGAAGGAAGAGAGGGGGCAAATGAGGGAGTTTGTAGTGCTAGGGAGGCTTGCTCTAGCTAAGGACAGAGGAGAAGGGTTCAGCAACAAAGGAGAGGAAGGAAGGAAAGAAAATAGCGGCAAGTACCCCAGGTGAGCCTGGGGAGCAAACAGGAACACGTGATGTCCCTGAAGGGAACCGGTGTATGTGGGGTGGGGGGCTAACTTCAGGAACAAGTGTCCCTCCTACTTCAACACATTTGCCTTCATCCTCTGGCAACTGGAGCCAGAGCACAAAGCAGAGGGGTCCCCAGGGAATCTGCTACAAACTACAGAGCCAATCTCCTCCCCACACCCAGCTGCCTCCTTTTTCTTCATTCTGTAAAACAACCATGGCCCACTTGACTCAGAGAATGGGAGTCAGGCATAGCTCAGTTCAGATAAGCCCTTGACAAATCTTCATAGAGAAACGAACTGGGCGAGAGGAGGGGCATAATACAACTGTAGAATCCTAGACTCAAGCAGTATTAAAAGTGTAGTGTCTTAGTCACTTTCAAAACACCTGACACCCACAATTTAAAGGAGGAGAATTTTATTTTGGTTCACAGTTTCAGTCCGTGGTCAACTGGCTCTGATGAGAAACAGGACGGCAGAGGGGCAGGGTGGAGGAAAAGTGCTCAGACTGTGGCAAGCAGGAAGCAGAGAGTGAAGGGAGGAAGCAGGAAGAGAGATACACCCCCTCAGGTCACACCTCCAGGGGCCTGCCTCTTTCGATCAGGCCTCGCCTCTTAACAGCATGTTGAGCTACTGAACTTATCATGGATGATGAGTCCACTGAGAAGTACAGCGCCTCCGTGGGCCAGTCACCTTCCAAACACAAGGGGCTTTGGAGGGGACATTTTAGATCTACATCCTAACACGAAGCATGGTTTGTATGGCAGGGACACTGACCAGTTAAAATGAAGAGCCCCTAGAACTGGAGCAGCTTTCTGAAGGGTCCCTACTGAGACAGGCATTAACTCTTCAGTTGCTGGAACAGAAGGGAGTGGGGAGTGCCGGGACTGTTGGGGGCACTGGGAGCATTTCAGAGCAGCAGCTGTTTGCGCATCACTAAGAAAGAAATGTAAGCTTTGAACAAGTGGGGTGCTGGTACAGATCTTCCTTAGTGGAACGTCAGTCCTGATCCTGAGGCAGATGGAGTCAGTCCTGGAGGTCATAGAGAACTCACTACTGGAAACCTAAAGGGCCCTGGCTACAAGACAGGGTGGGGACCATGAAGAAATTCTCCCTTTGCTCCCATGCAAAAAATGAGTCAAACGCTGGCTGCGCTGTTGAATACAGCACTATACCTATGGCCATAGTGTCAACCCCTTGTCTGGCTGCCACGAATCTACAATGCCACGCCCAGTGTCCTGAAGTCAGGACCCACTCTTGAAGAGCATCAGTCTGTTTCAGTGCCAGAGAGCTAAGAATATAAGCTTGTTAAAACAGGAAGGAACACTGGAAATCAGCTAATCCACTGATCTCTTTTGACATAGGGAAATTGAGGCCTAGAAAGGGAATTGTAGCGCCATACATCTAATTCCTCCTAGAGCTAGGATGAGCCCCAAGCTGTCCCTGTTCCCAACCTGAGACAGCTGCCTTCTTTCCTGCTATCCCAAGTCTTCATTATATTTGAGAGAAAACACCAGAATATCCTCAGGGCCAGCCTTCCACATAGGTAAACATGGTGTGACCAAATGTTTCACCTCAATTGCCTGTCACTGTACCTAAAATTTTACTATTGGTGATTCATTCCTTTGCATCTTGAGGATTTCTACTCTTTCGGGGATATACATGGGGGATGTACGACAATCCCCAGGAGAAAGGCTTTACACATTAGACCCAGGTTATACAGTTGTGGGAGAGCAGTGGCAGCTGGTTCAGGGAAGAAGATACAGACCAGGAAAGGATGGAAATTCAGAATAAGAATCTGAATCCAGGGCTCAGGTCATCCTGAGGAGACAAGGAAAGAATATTTGCTATCCCCATACTCAAAGCTTGTCAAGCCCTGTCTTGGACACTCAAGAAGCATTTTCCCCAGGAGGCTACACTGTGACCCAGGAAGCCTGAATCACTGCCCTTTGGTGCATGCTGGGGGAAGGGCAGGAGAGTGAAGAATAACATCAGGCTATCTGGAGTGGCCACGAGGGCATTCTATTAAGAGGAGCAGCCTGGTAAAGATGGATGTGACAAGGGAATCTATGAAGACATTGAGAGGAGCCTCAGGCATAAGCAAGGAAGGTTGGGTGTGCAGTCTGTCTGTTCTGTGCTTTCACCAGGGACCTGCTGGCTGCAGGCGCCATGGCCCAAAGCCGGGATGCTGTGTGTCACTCCCTCTGACTTCCATTCTAGTTCTGCTCCAGAGCTGTGCAGAGCAAATTTGGGCTCAGCTGTGGATCTCAGGTTCCTGGGCCTTCTGTTTTCCTCTGTCAGTTCTAGGCTGTTTATACCCAAGGTGCTTCGGGGTGAGAATCTTGCGGAAAGGGACAGGGGAAATGAGGAGGCTAATGGGTTTGTCTGGAAACCTTTTGCCTGGCAAGACCTGGTGTTTCCTTACAGTGTGTGTTTACATGGGCTTCCAGGGTAGAGCGGGGTGCATCTGGGAATTTGGGAACTTGTCTTGAAGCTGTGTTTCCCTGGCAAGTGTAATAGTCAGTCCCCCAAATCCTTGGGTTCATATTCTTGGATTCAACCAACACAGATGGAACTATTACAAAGAAAACTGTGTTTGTGCTGAACATGAAGAAACTTTTTCATGTCATTAGACCCTAAACAATACAGCATAACAACTACTTACACAGCTTTTACATTGTACTAGGTATTTTAAGTAATTTAGAAATGATTTAAGGTATACAGGAAGATATGCATAGGTTATATACAAACAGTGTACCACTGTATACAAGGGACTTGAGAACCCTTGGCTTTTCATTTCCATGGAAGTTCCTGAAGCCAGTGTCCTGCAGATGCTAAAGGATGACTGCATTGTACTTTACACTGTAGGTATATTTGAGATGGCTCACAAAGCTGAGCTGGACAAGCTAAAGACCACCCTCCAACCTTACTAGTTCTGATGTAGATCTCAGTTATTGGGGAAGAACACAGAAACACACACACACACACATTTTCAACAAACATAAAGCCTCCCCCCTTGTTGCTATCCTCTGCTGTCTGACAGGAGCCCTGTGCTCATAAGGTCTGGGGACCACAAGTGGTTTCTATTCAGACACCTGCCGTCTTGGGGTTGGATGAGCTCAGGTGAGAGGAGGAAGCTGCTAGCGCCAGGAACTAGACACCCAGAGCCAAGACTGTCTCCTTGGCTCCATTCAAGTCCCCAGACAACCTCCCCAGCTTAAGGCCAGGTCGTCACTAACCTATGTGATAGCACTGCTGAGGGAGAACTGTATTTCACAGAGCAGGGACTCCTGCCCGGTTGCAGGCTCAGTGATTCAGGGAAGATGAAATTCAGAGCAATCAATTTGGGCGAGTCAGGCAGGATTTCTCCTAGGCTTTACTTCCCAGCATCCCCCTCCTACCTAGAAGACAGACTAATCTCCGATGTTTGTCTAGTGGCTTCAGACTCTTCAAAGCTCCTTCACACCCATAATCTCCCTGAGGCCTTACAGACACCCCCATGAAATAGGGCAGAAGCTGTTATAATCCCTGTTGGACCAACAAGAAAACTGAGGGCCGGAAAGGCTACAGGACTCATCCAAGGTCACACAGCTATTTAGTCAAAGAACTAGGACTTCAAATATGTTTCCTAACTTTCAGCCCTGTGATCTTCCCACCTCCCCTGTGGACTCCCCTACAGAACTGCAAAGTGCCCTACTCCTAACACTTTACCCAGCACCAAGGAGAGGCGAATGACTGGCTGCCTGAATGACTGAATAGATAAGCAGGGGCAAGGCAGGAAGGAATACAAGTTCAATAATGGTTCTTTTTTAAATGATCAAAGTAGGACAGGACAGGCTGGCTGTATTGTTTCATCATTTTGACCGGGAAGGAGGGAGTAAGAGAGCTTTTCCATTTCGCAGACGTCATTGCCAAAGCATGAAGATTAGGACAGCTCTCAAATGGAAGCCATGCGGCTTACTCTCTCCACAAGGCTGCTTCCACTCATCCTTTACAGAGGACTGGGTGCTGCTGTGGGTCCTCTCTCCCCTACCAGGAAGGAGTCAGAATGAGCCCGATGGGAAGGGAGGATCTTCTCCACCTTGTCCCTGCAAGCTCCTTCTCTCTCCAGGCCTCCCACCTCGGCTGTCTGAGGTTCTGCTATGGAAGAGGTGTCTGAGAATGCTGGCTGCCACTCCTCTAGGACTTCAGCACCTTTCTCCCCATGACATTTCTAGCGTAACCCAGACCTCACAGGCTTGAAACTGGTCTCGTACAGTGCCGCCTGGACTCGGACTTCCTCCCTTCTCCCTTTTCTGTCTCCCATGGGGCCTGGCACACAGTAGGTGCCTAATAAATGTTAAGTGATTAAACTGTCCCTGTTAAGAGCTAAGCAGTGCAAGCCGGGTGTGGTGGCTCACGCCTGTAATCCCAGCACTGGGGAGGCTGAGGCAAGAGGGTCATTGTGAGATCAAGACCAGCCTGGGCTACAAAGTGAGTTCAAGGCCAGCCTGAACTGCATAGTGAGACCCTGTCTCAAAAAGACCCCAAAAAAAGAAAGAGCTAAGCAGTGCAATTGGGTTCCTGCCTCCCAAGGCCTCAGCCCTCCCCCAGGCACAAACAAATTGACCTGGAGTTGCCACTAGTCCCTAGTCCAGTCAGAAAAATGAGGAAACAGGGTGGAGACACAGGTCTTTAAATGCTGCTTTGCAGTAGTACCAAGTAGCTTTGGAAGCAGACAGTCCCAACTTGGAGATCCCTTAGGTTTCCTCCGCTTTGTTTTCTGTTCAGTGGAAAGAATGCTGGAAAGAGAAAACGGATGCAAAGCGGGGTGCCCAGAGCTTCTCAAGTGTTCAGCAAGCAGCGGCTGGATTACCGCACAGGGGGCCCCAGCGGGAGGGGCCCTCCAGGGGGCGCCGACTGCCTGTCCACACCGGGTTGCGGGCTGAGAGTCCGCACAGGTCGTGTTTACCGGCTCCCTCGCTAGTTCACCATCTCAGCCGCGGCTCTGGGGTCCAGCCAGTCGCCTCCTTCTTTAAGATTCTGGTCACAGCAAGGGCTGGATTTCTGAGGCAGGCGTGATCTTTCTCTTCCTCCAGACGCCGCTGCCGTTAGCGTCGGCGCGGGGCACAGCCGGGGCACAGCGAGAGGGAGACTGCGAAAGGGTTGCCGGGCCAAGTCAGCGGCCCAGCCTTTGCCCTAAGTGGGCCCTGACAGTAAGTACAGCGCTCGGAGCTGCCCGGTTGGGGTGCGCCTGGGAAAAGACCAGAAAGTAGGGGTTTGGGCCTGAGTGCTAGGGTCCTCTCCCGCCCCTCAGAGTGACCTAGGGGAGACCCTAGCAGGGGACCCTCCTCCTGGGTGGGCACCTGCTGGGCGCATGCAGCAGATGCATGGAGTTAAGGGGTCAGTTGGGAGCCATCCCTCTCCACCCCCCACCCCGAGCCCTAAGGATTGATTCTGGCCGCCAGGCAGCCTCCGGGTGCCTTCCTGGTGCCTCTGGAGAGGAAACTGCAGGGCAAGATACCCGAGACTGAGGTTTTGGTCGCCTGTGAAAAAGTTTTTTGCAGGGGTGGCGGAGAGGGAGGAGGGTGTGAAGGATAAGGAGAATAAGAATTTGGGGGACTGCCCTTCCAAGTGCTCAGAACTCACCCTCCCCACCGGCAGCCCCTGCCCCGCCCCTCCTGAGGTTGTATCCCCAGAGGGGAGCCACTCATGGAGATGGGTTTCTAGCGGCCCTCACCTCAGCACTTCAGCGTCCTCAGGCCCCTTGGCTGGTCTGCCCTCCGGGGAGCTTAGGCTGCACAAGACCAGGCAAGCTGGAGCAGGGGCAGAGGCACTGGGGCCTCTATGTCCTCAAAGCTCCAAAGGTCCCCGGGGCTGAGACAGATGACCACCCTACCCAGTGGGGCATTAACTGGAGAAGCAATGGTAAGTGCAAATATGCAGGAGCATACCTGTCGCTTTCTTTTCTTGAATTTGTAAAATTCAGGGTCGATGGAGTCTGAGGTAACAAAGGCAAGTGTATCCTAAGTCAGTCCTTTCTCAGAAAGCACCCAGATCTCCCTTCAGGTCTTCACCTGGCTCAACCATCCATGTTACCTGTGCTCAGATCTACCCGGTAGTGAACACGAATCATGTACAATAATAAGAACCCTCGCTGACATTCACTCAGTGCTTTCTGCGTGCCGGGCACAGTTCTTTACACGTATTATTTTATTTAATCTTCACAATAACCTTGTGAGATGGATACCAATATTATTCCTATTGGACAAATGAGGACATATGAGGCACATAGGTCCTCAGACCTCAAGTTGCACACCTAGCTAGAGGGAGAGCTAAGAATTCTGCTCATCTTACCTCAGGCCCCATTGTTGGCCACTGGAAATATGATGAAAAGTATAAAACAGAGCTTGATTTCCCTATAACCAACTTATTTATTGTACACATCTGAGTTTCAAATTCATTTTCAGGTCACCACCATTGTATCTTGTAGAGCAAGGCAAACTGAGTGGACTATGACAGGAGATCCTATTAATAGGTGCATAATAATAACAATAATAGTAAATTGCTCTTACCTACTATTGCCTGAGTACTTACTTGCCCCAGCACTTTTTATACATTTAATCTTCATGTAGGTTCTCTGAAGTACGTACTGTCATGAGCGCCATTTTATAGACGAGAGACCTGGGCATAAGAGGTTAAGTAACTTGCCAGAGAGTTGGGATTCCAGCCCAGAACTACTAACTCCAAAGCCCAGCTTGGAACTGCCCTTTGGCAGATTTGTGTGCGGCAGAGCTATGTCTTGCCACGCCTCCCCCAAGGCACTTGCTGGGAGCTCTGCACTATTCTCTCCACTCATTCCCAGCCCCCTTTCACACCAAAGAAGGAATTGTACAGGTTGGTGAAGGAATCCCTGGAAGGGATGGAGTGTTCTGGCTATATCTGGGTTTTGCTGTATTAAGTGTCATGCACGTAACATCAATAAGTTGCTCTGCTGTATAAGTTTTATTAATTAGAAGAGCGTCTGGGCTGCTGACTTGGCATTGTTAATCCAGTATTATAGCTCTTTTGAGTACCTCTGTTAGGAGGTATTTTGTAAAAAGTTTTTAGAACCTTATTTACAGTACTGGGCAGAGCCATCTTCCGGCTTCCTGCAGAGGGAGAAGGCTTGTCTCTCAGCCAGGATTTCAGTAGCAGAAACTACAGCCCCTACTTGAGTAATATTGTGGCTGTGTTTTCACATTCCCCCAGCACGATCTCTGTGAGCTGCAACCTGAATATGGCAAAGTCCCTTAGGGCTGACCCAGTGTCACATCTAGCCCTGCAGTTGGTTTGTTTGTAACTTCCTGCCATTGCCCCAGCCATTCATAGAGCTGGCTTCACAGGGACCCTCTTCACTGTAGGCAAAATGGGTGTGCGAGCTTCGTGGCTTTGGCCTCCATTGCTAAGCCTGGGACTCGGTGTATGTACTGGCGATCCATCTTTCCAGCTCCGCCCGTGACGGAGGTGCCGGCCATGTGCAGCTCAGTGGTGGCGCATGAGACGTGTGGCTGCTAACCCCAGTGTGGGCTGTGTCCTTGTTGTCTCTGTGACCTTTTCAGAGTTCAGTGCATCATTTCCCAGGGCCACAAGAAAGGAGTCGGTGTGGAACAGACAGCAGGAGCTGGTGCTCAAGTTAACTTTGCCTGAATTTATGCTATCATTTCTTTTTAATTGCAGTGACTTAAATACCTGGGCATTTCTTTCCCTCTTTATTGAATCTCCATAGCTATTCATTGTCACATTCGACATTCCTGTCCTAGAGCATCCTTCTCACCTTCCGCACTTAAGCAGAGCGGAAGAAATCTGCTGAGGATCAGTGTGGTGGGTGCATACCTTCCTGTGTGCTCCCGCACCTGTGCTGCTCCCTGGAGAGTCAGGGGACGCATGGTTTTATTTTACTTTTCATTTTATCTATCTCCATTTATTGCTCTGCTAGGACAACCGAGTTGCATGTCCAGTCTTTATTTTATTTTATTTTTCTGTCTTTTTGAGACAGGCTCTCCCTATGCAGTTCAGGCGGGCCTTGAGCTCACTTTGTAGCCCAGGCTGATCTCGACCTTGCAATGATCCTCCTGCCTCAGCCTTATTTTATTTTATTTTATTTTATTTTATTTTATTTTTAAATGTTGAGCCAGGGTGTTGCTAAGTTGCCTTGGCTACCTAGGAATCTGCCACTGTCCAGCTTTAACCTCCCAAGTAGTTGGGAATATAGGCCTATGCCGTCATGCTTGGTAACACACGGTTTTATATTGTTTGTTTACATGCTTGCCCAAGCTACCACCTTCTAGAGGGAAAACACGAGGCATGTGACAGGTGCTCAGTAGGTTTTTGCTGCATGTGTGAATGAAGGAGTGAATTAATGCTATATAGAAGCTGGTGGAGGAAGCCTCTGACTCACAGCCAGGAACTCTGCTATCATCCCCCTTATAAAAAGGGAAGTAGGAGCAGAGCTTGCCTTATTCTGCAACAGAGAACCCCAGCTCTGTGGATTTTTTTTCACTGAGAAAAAATACACTGTGATGCCCAAACATGAATGCTTGGGGAAGGACTTTCCTGATTAGTAGACTATTCCTGAGCAACTGGGAGTCTGGCCAAAAACTCATTTTTCCTCACCCTTTTTGATTCTTCCATTCTTTCTAAAATGCCTAGGCCTGCCTTTCTATCTTAGTAAGTCACGTCTGGAGTCTGTCACCAAATATGTGTGGCTCAGTAGGGAGCCTGAGGGTTCACAGGATTCCCTAGGATTCTATTTGCCCCTGGCCTGGCTGCAGAGTGGGATACAATCTCCTACCACACCTCAATTCCCGCTTGTCCTTACTGCACCCAAAGAGAAGTCCCCAGGCCCTTTGAGGTTTGTAATTCACTGCCACCTCCTCTAAGAAATAGATGGGGTTTCCCAGCTAAGAACCTGGGGGAGGTGAGGGTACCTGGGTGCTGACTCGTGCCCTCTGAGCTAGTAACGCAGCAGGTACCCTTGCCCTTGGCTTTCATTCTTAGGTGGAGGGTTCACCAACCTCATCTGCCCTTTTCTGACCCCAGGTAAGACATTATAATTCCTCTGTCTTAAGAGGAAGGTACCATTAGGCTGAATAAAAGGTATCTGGCTCCCCCGAGGCTGCATTTGGCATCTCTGGACATCTCCAGATGGGGTGACATAAGTTTACCGGGCCTCTGTGCTTCTTCATCTTGTGGCTTCTTGGCCTACTCTCTGTCGTGCCCCTGGGCAGTACTGACTGGACAGGTTGGGGCTGTCGCTGGGGAAGAGTAGGGCTGCTCCCTCGCAGGAGGTCAGCCCGGCGCCTGCTGGGCATAGGGCCTGGGCCTCTGATACTTCCTGCGTCATTTCGGGCATCTAGGCCAAGCAACAGGATAAAATGTGCCTTCTTCTGTCCAGTGCTGCCTATCCTGGTCTGCTTCTCTCCTCCGAAGCTCCCCAAAATGGTACTGAGATGAGAACTTTGTGCCCCAACAAAGCCAGATGGGGAATGGAGCAAAGGAAAGGCATACTCACCGTTACTCTGGTAACCTATAGCTCCTTGCTTCCCGGCTGACCTCTGCCCCTCTCTGGCTGTCATCTTTATGCTTTCTGCCACTAACTCCCTGTTCCCTTCAGTCTCTAGGCCCGTTCTCTCTTCTGCCCTTCTCTATTCGCGCAAGCCTGACCCTTCCCGCAGAACCTAGCTACCGTCCTCATCTAGAAAGCCTCCCTGTGCAGCTTCTGCAAATTGGCAGAGACTAAACAAAGGGCAAATACCTAATTTCCAAGGTCCTGCCAACTCTGAGATTATCCGGGAGTTGACCAGGCAGAGGTTGGAGGCATCCAAGGCTGGTGGCCAGGCCACCAATATCTAACAGTGTCACAGAGAACAGGAAGGTGGCCCAGCCAGCTAGCTAAATTGGCCCTCTATTGGCTTCAGGAGCCTTTGCCCAGAAGCCCTTGCAGGCAGCATCTGCCAAGCAGCCACCAGAGGGATGCTATTGGAGCCCTAGGTCTTTGGCTGCTGGAGGCAGTTACTTGTTGGGAAGTTCCCAGCAGCTCCTGCCCACACCTGCTCCCGCTGTCTGCCCTCCAAGCTTTGTTTACAGTTTAGCCCTTGGCAGACTAAAGGCTGGAATCCAAGGGAAGAGAGAACCGGGTGGACAGGGACCCTTTTCCGGCTTGGCATTCTGTGTC